AATGTCCATAAGGTAAACTGCCTAGTCCTGTAGCTCGCAGACCGCCCGCACAATGCCCATAAGGTAAACTGCCTAGTCCTGTAGCTCGCAGACCGCCCGCACAATGCCCATAAGGTAAACTGCCTAGTCCTGTAGCTCGCAGAGACCGCCCGCACAATGCCCATCCTGCAGCCTCTCCCCACCGCCAGCTGTGCCTGTTGGCAGTCAGTCTCCGCCGCCTTTTCCTCCAGCTGCTGTCTGCATTGGTCAGCTTCAAACTTCATCTCTGCTTGCAGCGTGTCCAGGGCGTCCTGCAGGTGGCGCCTCTCCTCCAGGACCTGCTCTGATTCCAGCCTGGATGGACGGGACATGAGGGGTCACATGGTGGGTGACGTCGTCTGTCTCGGTCGGGCAGACTGATTGGGTGGGGCACTCGAGGATACCTGAGATTATCCAGCTGCAGCTGCGTGCTGATGAGGGTGCTAGAGAGCCGTTCCAGCTCCTGGTCTTGCTCGCCGCGTTTTTGTTCCAGCTCGCCTTTCGCCACCTCCAGCTCCTTGTCAGCTGACTGCAGCACCACCCGCAGGTCGTGCACCTCGCTGTTCAGCACTGCGGGGGCGAGGACAGCGGGGCTGTCAGAGCCTTCATCTTATACGAAGCCCTGGGGGCAGAGGCACCGTCACCTCAGCAGGGAGGCAGCCGTGGAGGGAGGTGTCCTCCTACCGGCCATCTCACCGTTTGCCCTGCCCCGCTCCTCTTGCAGTGCCGTCTCCAGGGCGGCGACGCTCTCCTGTAGGGTCTGCTGCTCCTTGGTCCAGACACCCCGCTCAGAGGAGTACATCTACACGGCATGAAGGAGGAAAGGTGGATGACATCCAGGACGGAGTCAGCAGAAAGAAAGCAATGAACGCTAAAGGGAACGAGCGCCATCTATAAACAAACATGACGACAACACCGTCCCCCCACCTCCTCTTTGCTACGCAGGTCCTCCTTCATCCTGGACACCTGCTCCTCCAGCTTTGCGATCTGTTGCTGCAGCTTCCTGCCCTTCGCCTGCTCTTCATCCAGCTGGTTCTGGAAGGAGCCGGCTTGCTCCTGCAAAAGCCCGTCGGTCAAAGGAAGACCTCTGTGGCCCCCACTCAGACACCGTGGCCCGGTTCTAGTAACCGGATTACCTGGGCCAGCCGCAGCTCCTCTGCCAGGGTCTCACAGGCGACCTCGTTCATGTCTGGGGGCGGGGGCTCACTGCGAATGTCCTCCACGTCTTCGTCACTGTTGCAGTGCTCGGGGCTGGACAGGGGCACCAGGCGAGAGCGCAGGTTGTAGGTCTTGGTGGGTGTGGTCAGACTCTGTGCCAGGAACAGGAAATGCTGCTTTAGCGCTTAAGCATGGCGCCAATCAGACGTTCCAGGTGCAAGACCCTCCCTTGCCCCTCTGGTTGGCCGGTATGACGCTGCCAAACGTCACCTTAATGGTCTCCATGTGCAGCTTGTTCAGCTGGGAAACCTCCAGGTTTTTGTGGGCTTTCGTGGCCTCCAGGATGTTCTCCAGGTGCATGTTGGATTTCTCCAGGTACCTCTTCTCAGACTCTAGCTCTGACAACTGCTTTCTGAACATGGGAACGGAGATGACATGAAGACACCCGGCTGCATACCCGACACCATGCAGTGACAACATTCTTCTGCACAACCTACTGCATGAGTGGGTGACAAAATGCCCTTACTTGGTGACCTCCTTGTACTCCTCCAGAGCCTGGACCGTGGCAGTCAGCTCTGCCTGCTTCTGAACCAGCTGGGACTTCAGCCGCTCCACAGAAGCTGCAGAGATGCTATCCATGGTCGCCGAGGTAGAGTGGCTTGGTGGGCCTGCAGAACGGGACAGGGCTGTGATCAGAGGCTTTTCAAACAACCAAAAAATGAACTAACCAATGAATCAACCAAAGAACAAACAAAACGAACCAACAGCAAACAAGTGAACGAACCAAACAACCAACAAACAAGTGAACCAACCAACAGACGACCTAAGTGGACTTTTCCTATGTGTCCCAGACCCAGAGTAACTATGTAGCTAATTTATGTAGCCAAACAAAGATACTACTTCTTCACCTCCAGGGGTTTTCTCTGCCTCCAGACAGCTCTGCAGCAGCACCTCCAGCTCGGCTGCGGTCTGAGCGTCGGCCACCACAGCCTTCCGGACCGACTCCAGGGCCCGTAGCTGTCGGTTCTCCTCCCTAAGGCTGAAATTCTCTGCAGCATACCGGATCATGCGAGGATGACGCTCCACCTGAGGAACCAGTCAAGACGATCGTGACATTGACCATACCGCTAAGTCACAATGACCAGGCCTTTCACACTAAGTCCTGTACCTGATCCTTGAGTATCTTGATCTCCTGCTGAAGCTGATTCACCAGGTTTTGGGTCTCCTCGTCAGCAAGCCTGCTCTGGCCTCCCTTCAGCAGCACTTCCAGCCGCGAGATGTGGTCCTCCCGGAACTTGAGGATCATGCGATTGGAGTGGATGAACTTCTCCTTCTGGGTCCAGGCCTCCTCCAGCTGTGCAAGCTTCTGAAGCAGTGACTGAATGAAGGACAAATGTTAGCAACATAACACACTATCAAAGCCTCATGCTTCCACCACATGATCGCACATTAGTACCAATATACAGTGATTTACACAATGCAAAGCATTTAAGCATCTTGCATTCCCAGTCCCAGCTATACACATACCACAGTAACCATTAACCCATATGTATAGCCATACAAAAGCATAATCTGAAGTTTTTGCCCTGGAATGTCAATAATTACGGTCACAGCCACGTTTAGTTAAGTTCGATCCCCTCAGGCCGTTGGTCTGATGCCGTTATCCACATCAATCTCTGCTAGCGATCCGACCACAGCTACAGAGAAGAGGGTGATACTGTACCTTCTTCATTTCCTCTGTCCTTCTCCAGAGCAGCATGGCCTCCGTGAAGCGTCTCTGGTAAGGTACCTGCGAGCTGCTCTCAGCCGGCGGCACTGTGGCGAGATGGAGCAGAATCACAAACCGTTTCCACGCTAAACCAGAACCTGTTTGCTTTCCGCTTTAATCGGCCAGGTGCCTTTGCACCGATAGACTATCATGGACCTCTAATGGCAGGACAGCACCTCACAATCTAGGTTCGATAACCGTTCCACGCAGCACGGTGTGAAGCCGGGAATGAAGCTGGGCGGAGAGGAGCTCCTACCGGCCGGCAACTGGGGGCCTCCGGGGGCAACATCTGTCCCGCCGTCCTCCACCCTGATCCCAGCCGCTAGAGCCAGCGCCAGCTGCTCCTTCAGCTTCTTCAGCTCGGCCTGCAGCTGCTTGACGTTGCCCTGCGTGTCCTCGTTGATCATGGCCTACGTGACAGAGGGATGGGCGTCCCGTCGGTCACAGAGCAGCACTACACTCAGTGCTGGGGCCCGCTGGGGGCGACACCCACCTTGTTCTTGATGAGCTTGGCTCTCTGTGCAAACTGAAGGGTGGACAGCGTCTCCCCGAAGCACTTGGAGCCGGGATGCACGTTGGCTATGATGTAAGTCCTGGCATTACCACCCAGAGAGTCCTGCCAGAAGGAACGAGGACAGACTGTGATGCGTATCCACGGGAGGGGAGGCTCAGTTATTTTTGTCTATCAAGCTCTCTGTAGACACATCAGCCTGTTTGCTCGAGTATTCCAGCACTCTCCACAAGTCTGTCTAAACAAAAACAGGCCTACCACCTAGCATCTCAGAAAATCTGCCCAAAGACTTTTGACGGGAGGCTGGGGGGGGCATACTTACTTTCTTTGCTGTTGCCATTGATTAATAATCATTAATTGCATTTAAGCAGCAACACGTACTGCGCCGTGCAAACGTCTTAGGCAGCCAAAGAAAATGCTTAAATGATGCTATTATGCCTGACAAAGAGCGTCAGTATAGTCATTTCAAAACCTCTGCTAAAATCACCCCAGTATTTCCAGCAACCATACAACAGTCCCGTGTATTTTTGACTCGACCACTAGCACACCTAGCTAATCAGTATCTCGCTGACGTTTTTGTTTAACTAATCGAATTAAGTGAGCTGGTGGTAAAATTTAATAAATAGATGGACTGGCTGAGGTGCCCCTGAGGAGAGGTTAGGGAACAGAAGTCTTCATCTAGCCATCCGGCAAGATATCAGTTACTTTTTGGAGAACAGAAGAAATTTTTCTAGTTTTTTTATTGTTACTCTTAATATTTGTGGTTTTTGTTCTTAGCAAACGTGCACTTACTACCCCGATAAACAGCTTGAAACGTTTCTGTTGACTTTTGCACAGTACTGCAGGCGCTGAAGAAAAAGGCCCCCCCTGACCAGCACCGCAGTGAGCCCAGCCTCCTCACCCGGAGCAGGAAGGTGAGTTTGGAATCCCTGTAACAGATGTGGCGACTTCTGCCGTTGGACACGTCCACCAGAGCCATGATCACCTGACCCAGGCACATCAGGGAGCGGTTTATGCTGCTGGCTTCCTGTAGACAGAGAGGCGGGGGCACACTGTCACCATGACAACCAAGCTGCCCAAAGTCACCCAATCACCTTAAGCTATAGGACCAACCGGACACTCCTGCGGTAAGCAATCCAAGGCATTAGCAGTTAAACAAGGAGCTCACCTTCAACCGGGAGCCCTCTGTGTGAGTGTCCTTCTGCCTCTCGGAGCCGGCCAGGTCCACCAGGTTCAGCTGGGATGTGCGAATGTTCACCACCTCGTTCACAGTCTCCTTGGATTCCAGCGTCATGGTGAAGACCGCGTGGGACCGTGACGACTCCCGGTTCATGGAGGTGGAAGCCACTCGTCGGTTCCGCCAGCCCATGGAGAGCACCTAGAGGAGGCAGAGAGCCCGCGAGTGGGGTGCCGAATACAGCGTCACTGCGTGATATTCCATGGAGAGCACCTAGAGGAGGCAGAGAGCCCGCGAGTGGGGTGCCGAATACAGTGTCACTAAAGACTAAATCACATTAAGTAGCAAGTTGAGGTAACGTCTACAGACACCCCTCACTTAACGACTGAGTTCCAGTCCTACAAGTTGGCTGTTAAGCGAATTGGTCGATAAGCCAGGAGCCCCTTACCGGAATTTTCAAGCATAATGTACTGATAGTGGGTTTGTGTCAAACATCTTTAGATATCGTAGCAGGCAATCATTTTTATTTACTTTCACTAACATCTTTTACTACAGAAGGCAAAATAAAGTACAAATTAATAGACGAAATATGCAGTCATGGAGACTGCGAACGCTAGTGTAGTGTAGTGACTGTAGGAACGAGACAGACCGACAAAGGGTGACGCGGGAAGAGGTGCGTGACGCAGAGAAGTTCTCGTACAGCGTACAACACTGACTGGCCGGAGAGCTGGTCACAAGTCCGGGCGGTCAGTAAACAGGCAGGTCGTTAGGTGAGGAGCGTCTGTATCGCAACAGACTTTCAGCAGCTTAAGGGGTGACTGGTAAACGGTAAAATGGAGGGGAGGATGTCACCTGGTACGCGTCGACAGCCGAGGTGACGATCTTCTCCACGGCACCCTCCACGAACACGCCCTTCTTGATGTTCTCACGCAGAAAGAGGCTGGCTGAGGCGCTGTCCAGAAGGTCATATATCTGCTCGTTGTAGATCTCGATGAAGGAGCACTTGCAAAGGAAGCTCTTGCAGCTTCCAGACTGCAAAATGAAGATGTCCAAGTCAGATATAAGCAGTTCACACAGAATCAAAAAATACTATGAAATATGCAGTTAGACGTAAAATATGAAAAACATAATTTAAAATATGAAATAAAGAAAACTACAGTTCCCTGCTATTACTACCCACATCAGATTGTCTGCGAGGTCCCCGAGGACTGGACTGAGAAACACTGACTTTGATTAAATGACACCAGAGCGCATTGAGTGAACGGGAAGCTCACCCGTTCCACCTCCCGGCTGATGAGGAAAAAGAGACACTCGAAGCTTCTAGGTATGACGCCCCGCAAGTCGTCTGTGAAGCTGTTGGAATCGGAGGGACCTGAAAATGCAAAAACACAACAAAACAAGTCCCAATGAAAATGAACTTCTCAGGTTGCAGCCTATCAAAGGGCCGCAGTCCCTAATCAGCAAATCAGAGAAGCAGAATTGGAGCAAATCCATTTTCCGTCACCATAAGCATGGTCTTTTAAAATGCTTCAAAGTGTGTAGCCTTACCCAGCATTGTGAAAGTTTTCCCAGAGCCAGTCTGACCACTGTAAAGAAAATTGATCATATTAATAATTGGATAACTAGATAAACAGCGTTTCCCAATCCGGTCCTCGGGACCCACAGTCCACGTTTTTGCTCTCTTCTGGGTAGGGAGCTGGGAAGGAGCAAAAACGTGGACTATCTGGGGATCCCCAAGGACTGGACTGGGAAACACTGAGACAGAATAATTAAATGCCACAATATAAAATATAGGATATAAAAACTGCTGCTTCACATGTACTTACTAAGCAAAGATAGTGCCGTTGTATCCATTCACACAGGATTCCACAATGTTTCTGGCCACACTGGCAAACACAGCCTCCTTCAGAATAGTAGTACAAGGATTGTTTAGCGCATATTTATTTATAACCAATAAAACTCAAGTTTATTGTACAATTCCAATATTTCCTCCAAAGTATTTCTCAATTTAAAATCTAGAGAAATGAGGCTTGAAAAGGGAATATTGAGTGTTTTACAGTAATATAAAGTTTACTTAAATAAATATACAGCCTTAACAGCTTTCGTGCACAGTTTGGGAGAAGCAAAAGGTAAAGCAGCAGAGTGAGGGGATATTTATTGTCTAAACAGCGCAGGTTGGCTCAGGCAGAAGCTCTCAGACTCTGCGCCCACATTCGGACCTGCGTGACGTCTACGTCGGCCACGTGGTCGTAGGTGAACGTGCGCGGCTCCGGCTTGGCGTGCAGGCGGATGGTGTTGGGCGACGTGACGGTCAGGCACATCCCCTGGTCGCCGTCCGTCGTCAGCCCGGTGCCCTGGGTCAGCGGCCGCACGCGGACAAACACTTTAATGGAGTCGCCATCGCCGCTGCTGTTGGGACAGGGACACACAGACGTGTATCTTTTTAATTAAAGTCAAAAGGTTTGAAATGCCACAGTTCTTCTTAATGAGACATCCCCACAGCATGACAACAGTTGGAACTCTTGTGATCAACTATTGATCAACAATCTAAACACCCTCAACCAAAAAGCCGTATGGTTCCTAACAGAGTAGCTTCTCTGTCCTGAAATGGTACAGTACACATTTTATGAAACGCTAAATAAATGGATGTAGTTTATTGGTGATCTCAAGTTCATCAAAGTTTATGCTTTTTTACAACTGTATAATGTTATTTTTTTTTGTTAATGTTGGTTATTTTTATACAAATCAAGTCAAGTGAACAATTTAAAAATGCACATCTTCAGGGTTGCCAGCCCTCACATATCTGGCATGACACTCATGCTCAGGCAAGAAATCTTCTTATGGCATATATATATATATATATATATATATATATATATATATATATATATAAATAAACATTGTTTTCTTTGACTGCCAAAGACTTTCGCACAGTACTACACACACATTAATGCATATATATACATCCTCAGCAAACCACACGTACGTTTTCAAACATACAACTTATTTACTACAGCACAATCACGTATTCGGTAAAATTTAGGCAAGAAATTAACTCAGATGGGAAAATGAAAGGACTGGTAACATTTTCGTTAGTTTAATTTTGGGACGATGAACGATTCTGTCGATTCCCGTGTGGTCAGCTCTAGCCAGTTAACTGCCTTTTTACTAACCAGCTAACCTTACCTGACAGCTGTCTGTTGTGGAGTCTCCCCGGACTCTGTTATGTGGAAAAGCAAACACCTTATTAAACCTACTACCCCCAGCCATATATCTGCTTCACAATTTCGCGGTTATTCACACATTTATAAACGACTTTCTTCCATATTACGACCATAATCAAATTAACAAACCATCATGAAAGATGTTCCACAGATAGCTCCATATCGGATATGTAAACATATAAGTACATTAAACGCCGCTAGTTCTCCTGCGTTAATTCATCCACACACATTTTATATAGCATTACAGGGGCTGACTTACCTTTCCCCTTCGTACTCATAGCGCGTTATTACAAGTTACCTGCAATCGAGCTAAATCACATACTAATAAGTAAACAAGCAGTAAAAACCAAAATGGCGCAGTTTCGAAATTGGCGCGCAGATACCACTTCCGGTGCTGCAGCTTCCGGCGCCGGAAGGTGGCGCTCTAGATCCCACACTCCTCGATTTACGCGTTGCGGAAGTGGATGGAGCCTGGTAACTGAAAGTGGAAGTGGATCGAAGGTTCGAGTCGACTAACATAAGATACGAGATACAAGCTAGGTTATTAAGAAAAGGGTAAGAATATTATAAATCAGTTTTGTAACACGCCTGCTGAAATAAAGTAGATACATCGATTAACGTGTGTGGTGATTATAAATTCTGTTTCTGGAAATAAGATTCGCAGAATAAGCACAGTGGGGGGTGGATTAATACTTTGACAGGCTGCTGTTGATATCCTGTTCCAATCCGAGCTGAATTCAGGCGAAACGTAACTGGATCCTTTTTTATCGTAGACTATGCATCTAGGTGTGTCTGAGGGAGATGCACACCATTACCTGTCTGCCGGATTGTTTGCTCTGGTTAATGTGTAAAATTGTGCTTGTCGGAAGACGACCAGAAGTCGCAGAACGTCTTAAGTAGGCCTGTATGTTTTTATATATGCTCATTTCCACATACCTAAGTAATATCGCTATTAACATTGGTACTTCAGGAAAATATCTTTCTTAGAGATTTCCAGAATTTCGTCCAACTTGTGAGAAGGTAGCTCTGAATGGGTTTTCCTAACAGCCATAATGATGCAGTGCATCCTAAGGGTAACATGAGCACAGCCTTACACACAGTCTTTTGAATTTCAGGCCAAAATTCTTTCAGTCATTGACCTGCAAACCTGCTGTTGAACATAAATAAAATCAAATAAATCTACATTGACACTTCATTTCTCTGCAGTAGAACAGACAGATCAGATGGAAAGTTCTGATTCAGCAGTGCCTGGAAGTCAGACTGATCAGAGCCAACAGATGGATTCACAGTCTCAGGAAGCCGCCGAAGCACCTTCATCCAGTTCTGAGACCATGGACACGTCGGAGGAACCTGAGGCTGCTGTCATCGAAGGGGCCAGTTCTGAGACCCTGGACACGTCGGAGGAACCTGAGGCTGCGGTCACCGAAGGGGCCAGTTCTGAGACCCTGGACACGTCGGAGGAACCTGAGGCTGCGGTCATCGAAAGGGCCAGTTCTGCTCCTG